CTAGAGATGGCAAGCCGCTAACGCGTTAATGTCTATTAGCCAAGAGTCAATGTTTGACGAAACCGGCATCAACCAAGCAGCAAGACTGGCGGATAATTACCAGCAAACGGGCCGTTTCGAAGACTTAGAAGAAGCTGTCAGAATTATGGAACAGGCAGTGGACATCGGAGGAGAATTATCCAGCCTAATATGTTGAGCAACCTTGGGGTGATGCTCGGTATGCGATTCGAGCGGACCGGTTCGATAAGCGATCTCGACCGTGCCGTCGACGTTGCGACCAAAGCAGTGGACGCCACACCTCAAAACCACCCCGATCGCGCTGGCAGGTTAAACAACCTTGGAAACAAGCTCGGCAGGCGGTTTGAACGCACCGGTTCGATAAGCGATCTCGACCGTGCCGTCGACGTTGCGACCAAGGCAGTGGACGTCACGCCTCAAGACCACCCTAATCGCGCTGGCTACTTGAACAGCCTTGGAACCTGGCTCGGCAGGCGATTTGAGCTTACCGGTTCGATGGACGAACACGACACTCCACTGCCGCCAAGGCCGACAAACCCAGGGTCCGTGGCTGATACAGCCTCTATTGTCCAGATGTCAGCAGTAGATATCGCTTCTATCTTCCAGGCTTCCGAGACTGCTCCTACGTCTCAGACGAGTGACAACCACTCCGATGTGGACGACAAGGAGAACCTACAACCATCGGACCCGCCAGCCCCGTCAAACTCAGACTCAGGGTCGGTAATATCGAACTTTGAGCAGCCGCTTAACCCAAGTGCGAAAGACAGCATCATCAGCCTCCTGTGTGGCCGTATTCAAAATGCCATCCCTAAGTCCGGCGGGCACATTGGCGCAGCCGGGTCTCATCCCGGGGTGCAAGTGGAATTGGCGGCGAAGCTGAGGGACTTCGTCAAGTCCATGCAAGCCAGGGCCCCCAAGTTGGACCGGCCTGATCGGGATGGTCTGAAGTTGATGTATTTCCTACACTCCGACATCGCCCGTCGTCTTGACGAGCTCATGTGGCCGAAACCTGAGCATCGGCTGCCCACGAACCTTGGGAACGCAGAGCCGATGGATGGGCGAGCAAGGGTCGAGATTTGGAAGTATGATCCACAACAAGACGACCCGTTGGGTCCGCCCGCCGACAACGGAGGTCCTACCGATGGAGTGGATGGAGCTGAGGACGGCGGGTTGGGCGACATCTTTGTGAACCGCATCAATGCCCGAGATGTCATTGACCACCTTACAGCCGATCCGGCGTTCGATGTACTGGTATCTGAGGTCCGCGACATCTTAGAGCAATACGCGAAAGACAAACTGGAAGTCATCCGGACACGAATCTCCGATTCATTTGCCTCGCGGCCCAGTCACGACGGCCCCCAAAGTCGACCTCACTGCGCTCGTTTCCAAGTCGGCTGGGACTTGGAAGGCTACCTGCGGGCGAACTACGACAACGGGGTCTCTCAAAACTTGAATACCATTGTTGCAACTGTCGGCGTGCTCCCGAAGGCCCAGCTCTGCACCATAGGCGAGTACTTCAAGCAAGTCGCAGACTGGGAAACACACGAAACGGAGCTGCTGAACGCTCTACAACAAGCCATTCATAAGCGTAAGACTAGTGGACATGAGCAACGAGACATCGATATGACGACAGGTTCGTCTCTCCGCGCCCCCTCGCTGTGGCGGTTCGCTGATAATCCCGAAGCAGCAACCGACCAAGTCACCGAGCCAGTCACGGCCGCAGGTGATAGCATCTCAGTAAATCTCGACTCCAATACCATCGACGTTGAGGGATCTGAAAAGTTCATTGTAGTTGTTGCACAGCAGCTCGGGTGGCTGGTTGCCCTTACCTACGATAATTGCGAGCTGGACGAGACCAAATACGCCTACGTCCGAGTCAAGAAACTGCCGGAAAGTGAAACGTCATACAACCCCGGGCCGCTCTTTGACGTGACCGTCAACTTGGAGAGGCCGCCCCAAGAGGACGAAAGCAGCGGTTGCTGGACGGCCATCCTAGGCCATTCGGTGCTCATCACCGGCTATCCGACCAATGACCGCCAAGCGTCCATGCTCGGCTTGGAAGCGAGCCCCCAGACAATGGCATCGCTCGCCAGGATACCAGTTGCTGTCACCTTCGGCGGTGGCTTCGTTTTCAAGGGTCGATATCACGCACTTGTTCCCATCCGCCGGCTTGACACATCAGTCCAGTGGCATGTCATCGCTTTACCCCCGAACAAAAGAGAACTCAAGTGGCGGGACATCCTCGACCACTGTCCGGAACGCTTGCGACATGACGGGGACAACAACATGCTCTGGAAGTCAAGAAGCTTCTTTGGCTGGTGTGATTCGGTTGTCTGCGATCTGGGCACCAGTAAGCCAACGCGGTCCCAACGATTCCTCTTCACACGCCTTTTAGCCGCAGACGCTGACTCTGAGTGCTGTTTACCTCTCAGAAACACACGGCTTCAACTCTGGAACCTTCAATCCCTCTGGATTGAAGCCCCTCACAGGTTTTGCGCATGTTC